GTGTGCATTCTCTCCACCCTCCTTGGGAACAGAACCCTGATATGACTCAGGACAGAGCTGTGCCCAGTTAAAAGGCCACTTCTTCCAGTCTCCCAGGGGAAGTCATTGGATAGGACATCCAGGAAAATATCTGCATGGGGGAAGCTCAGCTGGGAGGAGCCCCCTTCATGCCCACCTCGCCTTCCTCCTTTTCCAGCAGCCCTTCTGAGCAATGAGACACCCTGAAGATGGAAGCCACATGCTTAGGGTGGTGTTTTATTTTCAGCCATATGAAAAGTAAAATCCATTCTCAGCCCACCAGCTGAACAAAATGTGGACCGTGGGCCATTGTTTGCCAAGCCCTGCTTTAAGGAACGGCAGGACAGCAGGATGGTGGAAAGAGGTTGAAGGGAAGAGGGTACAGAATCTGCAGGGCTTCTGTTGCAAAACCACGGTGTGTGGTGAGGATGTCTGGATTGAGGCAAATTGGAGGTGAGGTCTCTGAGTGCCGTGGAAGGTTGTGGTAAGGACTGGCCGGGGTCATGGTGGACTGGGTGTCAGAGCTGCCACCAATAGCAATGGACAAACCCGGAGTGGTCCAGGGTGGGACGCACTGAGTGTGGATTTGACCTGTTAGGTTGCGGGTGTGGTTGGGGCACTCAAAGATGTCCCTTGGGCAACGGGGAGGCTCTGGTGGGCTCCAGCTGAGGTGGGCGCAAGCTTAGAGCCAGTTTCAGGATGGGGGGCTGGTTCTGAGTGTGCATTAGAACGCAGACAATGAAAAAAAGGCAAGTGGAGTTCAAGTGCACTGCGAGATTAGACACCCCACATCTTTTGTCAAAATGCCAACCCTGGACACCTGGCCCTGGCCACACCCATCCTGCCAAAGAATGGCTAATTCTAAACAAGCTTTCAGCACGCACACAACTCCTTGGTCCTGGAGCTGGTAAAACCTGCAAACTGCCTCAAGACGGTTGTGGATAAATGGTGAGCAGGTATCACGCAGACTGTCATTCTGGTCTTGTTATTATCAAGGAGCCTTGACTGCCAGGGCACAGGGGTATAGACAGTGTATGGGTGTGATGGCGTNATGGAAGGATGGAAGGATGAGGGGATGGGTGGATGGAGGGATGAATGGATTATTGAATGATGGATGGATGGCAGAATGAACGGATAGACAGATGGATAGATTACAGAATAATTGGATGATGGGTAGATAAATGACTGGATGGATGACTGGATAGAGGGATGGAGGGATGGACAGATAGATGGATTACTGAGTGATTGGATGTATGTATGATGAGATGTACTATGATTGGATGGATGGTTGGATGGATGGACGGATAGATGGATGGGTGAGATGGTCACATGGAAAGCTCCCCTCGGAGTTTCTGAGCCCTTTGCCAGCACATGTTAGTCATCAACTTTCCCTCAGCTTCTCCGGCGCCTGGTCCTACATTGCCAGAAGGACCTCTCCAGTCTTCCCAGTGGCATCTCAGCCATCAGGTCAACGCTCCTCAGGTCTCAGCTCGGTGAACCCCCCACCTTTGTGTGATAGAAATGCCTCACTCTTCACGCACGTGTTGCCTGAATGGGTTTCCTGTTACCTAACTGTCCGATCCATGGCTTACTGAAATCTGGAAGGCAGGGAAGTAGATCACAGCCTCTGGAGTCAGGCAGATGTGGCCCAAATCCTGGCTCCACCACCTACCAGTGTGTGACTCTGGGCAAGTTACCTAACCTCCCTCTGCCTCAGTTTTCTCTCCTATAGAATGGGCATGGTACTAGTTCCACCCACTCATAAGGCTTCGTGAGCCTAAAACTGCCCAAATCTTATTTTTAAGCACTTCGGACTGTTCCTGGCATGTGAGGAGCCCTCAGTGAGTGGTACTTATTACTGTCAGTCATTACTATGCCACCTTGGTTGAAGGGCCCAGTGTAGTACTGCTCACTAACAGGAACTTGAATATTTTTATGGTGCTAATAATGGTGATGCAGATGTGGACTGGAGGCTCCTGGCAGGTAGCGATCACTGCACCAGATAGATAAACGGGCTCTTGCCATAAAGTCAAGCATCACTGTAGTCACAGCCCATATGAAATAAATGCCCCATCAAGCACATGGAGACTTTTAGTCTATAAACTGCAAATACCCTCTCTGTGGCACAGACTGCTGAGACCTGGTGTGCATTCTCTCCACCCTCCTTGGGAACAGAACCCTGATATGACTCAGGACAGAGCTGT